TTTTATATTCTAGATGTTAGTCCTCTGTCTGACGAATAGCTGGTGAAAATTTTATCCTATTTTGTAAGTGGTATCTTTTATTTGTTGGTGGTTTCCTTTGCCTCATAGAAGCTTTTTAACTTCTTATGATCTCAGTTCATCGAACTAATTCTTTGTATTATATCTTGTGCATTTGGGGTTTTGCCTCTGAAGTCTTTGCCTACACCTATATTTCCAAGTGTTTTACTTAGTCTATTTTTCAACAAATTGTTTCTATTTTAATATTTACATCTTTGATCCATTTTGATTTAGTTTAGCTCAGTTCAAGGTGAGAGATAGGGATCGAGGTTTAATGTGCAGTATGTAGAAAGCTAGTTTTCCTAGAACTATTTATCACAGAGGCTTTCTTCCAGTGAAAGTATTTGCCTTCTTTGTCAAACATAAAGTAGCTGAGTATGTCTGGAGTTGTTTCTGCCTCTTTTAATCTATTCCATTGATCCTCGGCTCTGCTGAAGTGGAGGTGTTTGGTTCTTCTGTGAGTGTGGTTGGAATTGTTTCTGCATTGCCTATTCTGTTCCATTGACCTTTGGGTGTGTTCCCCCCACCCAGGGCCATGCTGTTTTATAACGGTAGCTTTATAGTATAATGTAAGTCTGGTATTATGATGCCCCCTGACTTGGCTTTATTGTCCAGAATTACTCCGGCTGTTCTAGGTCTCTTCTGGTTACAAATGAATGTTAGAATTTTTTTCTGTGGTTCTGTGAGGTATGCTATTGGCATTTTGATCAAGATTGCATTAAATATATAACACTTTTGCAAGTACAGCATTTTTACTATATTTGTTCTGCCTATTCAAGAACAAGAGATATCTTTTCATTTTCTGATATTTTCTTCAAGAGTCTTTTTCAGAGTACTGTAGTTTTCATTGCAAAGGTCTTTTACTTACTTTATTAGATTTATTCCTAGGTGTTTCATTTTATTTCATGTTAATGTGAAAGGTGTTCTTTTCCTAATTTCTTTCTCAGTGAATTTATATTTGTGTACAAGAATGCTATTGAGTTTTGAATGTTGACTTTATATTCTGTTATTCTACAAATTTAGTTATTAAATCTATCTTATTAATTCCTGCTGTGAGGCTGAACTTTATTATTAAATTTATTTATTTTTTATTTTTTTATTTTTTGTGGAACCAGGGATTGAACTCAGGCCCTTATGCTTGTCAGGCATGTGCTTATTCTACTGAGCCATCTCCTCGGCTCCCATTAAATTTAATTTGGTTATTAAATTAAATTTGGTAGAGCTTTGGGAGTATTATATGTAGAGTATCAGGTCAACCACAAATAAAGACAATTTAATTTCTTTTTTTTTCAATTTAATTTCTTTTCCAATCCTTGTTCTTGTTATTTTTCTTGTCTAATGGCTCTGGCTACTGTTTCCAGAACTATATTGTTGGGAGCAGCTGAAGTTGGAAATTGGTCATATGTGTGAGGTCAAGACAAAGCCACAGTGCCTAAAGTAGTCAAGCTACCTCAGTCTTGAGAAAAGTATCCTGCCTGATCAATCTCAGTCAATAGTTGCTAGGCAACCTTGTGTCTCATGGTACTAACTTTGGCTGAGTATAAATAAATGCCCCTACTATTGTTGTTCAGGTCCTTTGTCCATCAGGCAAACTGGTCTCTACCTGAACCCAGCTCTTGTCTCTTATCCACCTTTTCCTTATTATTGCTGCAGTTTCTCCTCAGGGTACTCTGTGAGACCAGTGAGTCCCTGCACTACATTGAACAAGAGTGATGATGGTGTGCATATGTGTCTTGTTTCTGATTTTAGAATGAAAGCTTTAGTTTTTGACTATTTAGTATGGTGTTGGTTGTCAGTTCATCATAGATAATTTTTTTCAGATTGAGATGAAGACCTTCTATTCCAATTTTTATTTATAATAAATTTTATTTTCATTATTCCATGTAGCATAATTTCAAAGTAGGGTCTGTGCTTCAAGATGAGCAAAAGAACACAGATCTCAAATCTCACCAAGAGTTTTTTCATTGTGTTCTACGCAGGGCATGAGGATTTGGGGGCCCCAGTTTGGGCCCTACACTTTACTGCTTGCGAATTTTAACTACTGATGCAGAAAGAAGAGGTGAACTTGCCATAGAAGAACCAACCATGTAAGGGCAACCACCTCTGAGGGGTTGTGATGCCAGTGACTGGTGCTTTCCCCCACCAAGTTCAGTTTTTTGTTTTAAGTAAAATGCTAATGTATGTAATGTTCTGAATTTCTTTAATACATTAAAAAAGTGGAAGTCTATAGATCTTTAAGTCTTTATGAGTTCAAGCTGGGACATGAGCACTATGAATGTGGTCTGTTCAGCACATTCAGTCCAATTTTAGCAACCATCAGCAAAGTGGCTCCTGCCATTAAACCTGCAGGCATAAATTTTCCAGAGTGGTAGACTCTCATTCCCAAAATGCCAGCTAAAGTCCCGGATGTAACTAGGAAAATTCAAATGTTATTAGGGTCCTGAGACAACTGGCAATCACTCAGGCTGGCTAAGCTCCCAAAGAGGAGCCCGGCTGCTTTTGCATAGCCAATGATCCCACTGGTAGCAACTAGTGTGGTGTAGCCATAGTCAAAATAAGGTAAAGGCACTAGTGAACCGAGCAGACTCTGCCTTGTTCTCTGTGTTCAGACAGAAGACCACACCAGACCTACACCCCAGGTTCCAGAGCAGGGCTCCAAAAGTCTGTGGACAGGAGCCAGGACCATGCTCCAGAACAACGCAAACTATTCCAATTTTCTATAGTGTTTTTTTTGTTTTTGTTTGTTTGTTTAAATCATGAATAGGTACTGGATTTTGTTGAGTGCTTTCTCTGCATCTATTGACCATGTGTTTCTTGTCCTTGGTTCTGTTAATATGGTGTACTGCACTTACTGACATGTAGTATGTTGTATTTGTTGATTTGCATTCCTGCATCTCTGGGATAAATCTTACTTGGTCATGATATTTTAATACTAGGTATAGAACTCAGGACCTTGCATTTGACATGTAGGCGCTTATCCAGCTGAGCTATCTCCCCACCCCTTATAATTTTATCGATAATTTGCTCCATTCTGTTTGCCAGGATCTTATTGAAGATTTTTGCATCAATGTTTATTACAAAGATTCGCCTGTAGTTCTCTTTTTTGGTTGAATCCTTCTGTGGTTTTGGGGCCAGGGTAATGCTTGCTTCCAGGAATCAGTTTGAGAATATTGCTTCTTAAAGAGTTTGACAAGTACTGGCATTAGATCTCTGCAGTTCTTGTAGAACTTAGCAATGAAACATCAGACCTGAGCTTTACTGGTAGATTTTTTTTTTTTTTTTTAATTTTAAGGAAGGGTCTACAGATTGTTCAGAGTCTCATTACTAGATTGGACTGGTAGTGATGTGCCTGTTTACAGTCTCGAAAGAGCTGGGATTACAGGTGCGCGCCACCATGCCCAGTCTCAATTGTCCTCTCAGCGCTCCACAGCGGCAGGGCCAGCAAGGCAGGCCCAGGAATCAAATCCCCAGCCCCTGAGCCTGCTTGTGGGCACTTTAATCCGCTGAGCTATTTGGCAGGCCCTTTTTATTGGTAAATTTTAAATTACCTCTTCAATTTCATTGGCAGATATTAAGCTATTAGAATTTTTATACCTTTTTAGTGCTGGCCAGATAGCTCAGGGGATTAAAGCTCTTCCTTAGGCAGACGCAGTGAATGGGTGTTCAATCCCCTACACAGCGACTGAGACTAGGCATGATGGCTCTGGCCTGTAATGCCAGTATTATAGGTAACCAGATTAGATAGAAATATTGATAGGCAGTCAGACAGGGCAGGGCCCTTGAAGGAGACAGCACAAAAGACAAGTTATCTTGCAACTGTAGGAGGGACGGATGCTCCTGCTGTGAGCCAGACCTAAAAGACCTAAAGGCCAAACAAATGCTAAAAGAGTAGCATCAGGGATTGATATTCTAAATAGGTATCGATCACCTAAAAAGACCCAAGTGAGTCACTAGCCCAGCCCCCAACAGGAAGAGACCCTGTCCCCTATTCATGCCCGCTTCCCCATTTAGCCCTGGGTGTAATCAACCTTACCTGAGCAATGGTGCTTGCAATCCCATTGGTTGACCGTAGTTTCATCCCACCCCACATCTACCTAAGTGAGACCCCTTCCTCTCTACCTTAACCCCACATGGTTTTGCACTATAAAAGTCCCTGGAAGAGACAGCTTCCAGGGGAACTACCCGTTCGGGCCTCCCTCCTGTCCCTCTCTTGTACAGGAGCTTTCTTTCTCTCAATAAATATATTCTGCTCATAACCTCCGTTTGTTCCTAAAATTCATTCTTCGGTTTTAGAGAACACGAACTGGTGCAAGTCAGGTCCAGAGATCATTTTTTCTCTATGTCATTTGGAGGTTCCCTATATCATTTGGAGGTCACCCACCCGAGACCAGTTTTTCCTCCCTGTATCACCAGCACTTGGGAAGCTGAAAACAGAAGGATCACAGAGTCCGACCTATGTAGTGAGACCCTGTAGACCCTGTACTAAACACATAACATTTTTAAAAAAGAATGCCTTTTTATGCCTTCTTAATTCAGCTTGGTAATGCATGTGTATTTAGGAATCTGTTCATTTCTTCTGAGTTTTCCATCTTATTAGAGTACAAGTTCTCAAAGTAAGTGATTTTTAAGACAAGGTCTCACAGTTTTGTTTTGTTGTTGTTGGCAGAACCAGGGATTGAACTCAGGCCCTTGCCCTTGCACTTGCCAGGGAAGTGCTTATTCTACTGAGCCATCTCCCTGGCCCCAAGGGCTTGCATTTTCGAGGAGTATTTGACCCGGCTCACCCTTCAGCAGGTGTCCCACCCAAAAGAGCTATCTTCTGCCCCTTCCCTCCAAGCTCCTCTCCTTCCCAAGCTGCTCAGCCAGAAGCTAGAGGCCAGCGCAGCTCGTCTCCATGACAACCACCCAGCATCCGGTCCCCGCCCTCGCCGGGCAGGGGGGACCGGAAGCTTCCCAGAAGCACGCTCCTCGCTGGGTTTCTCCCGACGCCACCCCAGTGCTTCCCTGCCGGGAGGTGAGAGCTGAAGCCTGGCCAGGTCCTCAGACCCGGTGCAGAAGCGGCCGTCACGAGTGGGCATGTGGGGGGAGGGACCTGGGCGCAGCCCCTCGGCTCTGCTAGCCTGCTGTTGCCGGGTCTGCCCGTCCGCCTGCCTGGCCTTCCCTGTGCGCCCCAAGTGCCCTGGGCGGCCGCAGGCAGCGCATCAGAGCAGGCGTTAGCGAGAGTCGCAAAGGCAACCCCCGCCTCGGGAGCCCAGCTCCTTTTAGGTCACCGAGTGCTGCCGGTGGATTGTTGCGTTGAGAACCTTTGTAGAGACGGCACAGTCTTCCCCGGGTGCTGAAGTGCCGAGTGTTCCGAGCCTCGAGTTTGATGCTCCAAAATCTTGGCGCCAACCCTGCCTACCTCTCGGCTCCCTTCCCTCATACTCTGTTCCTGTCCAGCTCAGCTGGAGGTGCTGCTGCAGGAACCTTCTTCCTCTGCCCCCACACCCCGGCCAGAGGGCAGGAGTCGCCTCGCAGGACCACACTGCACGCTGCCCCTTTGTCTTTGAGCACAGAACCCGCCTCAGCTAGTTTGTGACTGGTTCCTCATCTGCTCTATGGGGAATAACCTCCTGGGGCTTTTATGAGGATACAAATGAACTTGATTTATTAAGGCGCATAGAACAGTGCTTGCCATGTAGTAAATCTCTGTGTGCACTGCTAGGATTCGTGTTATACCACAAAGCTGTAATGTTGTGTGGTTTATTGGCGATGAAGCTGCAGGCTTTACCCAGATCACTGCTGTGTCTGATGCCTAGAACAGTAGTTGATGTAGTGGGGAAATCAAACAGCAGGATACATAGAAAGGGAAAATAGAGGCACATGGAGGATTTTTTAATTAGTCGTTGCTGACAGTGTTCCCCAAATCACTGTCCATTTTTAAATGTTATTAGTTACTGTGGATTCTTTCTTTTTTTGTAGATTCTTACACTAAAATGGTATAAAGAAAATGGACTTCTCCCCCTTCTTGTTAGCAAACTAGTAATACTTGCACATACCATTGTGAACTGATAGTCTTGTTTTGCCATTTATTGCTAATAGAGAACAGGACAGAATTGAAAGAAATAATCTCAAAAGAGAAAAATAGTATATTCATGAAGGTGTGCTTCACAGTGTTATTTGTAGTAATGATGATAGTATACAAGCAAAATATTCTAAAAGAAAGTTAAGTAAACAATATAGACATTACAAATGGAAGTAGAAGTGACTATCAAAAGTGAGAATACAGGGGCTGGCGAGATAGCTCAGTGGACTAAAGTGCCTGCGTAGGCAAGCGCAGGGGCCGCACTTAGCTCCCCGGAACCACATACCGGTGCTGTGCTATCCCCGCTCCCAGGTCGGGCTGAGTCAGCTACTGTCCAGGTGTGGTGTCACATGTCTGCAATCCCAGTGCTGGGGAGGCTGAAAGCAGGAGGGTCACCTCTAGTCTCGGCTGTGTAGTGAGACTCTGCAACAACCAAATACATTTAAAAAAAAAAAGTGAGAATACATTGAGATGCAGGAATCTGCAATTGTTTTTTTCTTTTGAATGTTTTCTTTAATGCCAAAATAATAATTAACAAAGTTGGAAAAAACCTATGCAGAAGTCCTTTTCTCATGAAATTTCAGTTTCTCTGAGCTATTTGCAGCAGACTAGATAAAACTGATTGGCTTTTTTTTTTTTTTTTTTTCCGGAACCGGGGATTGAACTCAGGCCCTTGCGCTTGCCAGGGAAGCTGATTGGCTCCTTGAACCTGCTCCAGAGCCAGCTTTTCTTGGGCTTCTCTTATTCCTGTTATCTGGGAGTTCTTTTGCAATTCTGCCTGATCTCCTATTATAAAATTTAGTCTCATGGACATAAATTTCAGAATAAAGTGGAAATTACTTTTTTTTTCTTTTTTTTCTTTTTTTTTTAGGGAAGGGTCTACAGGGTGATCAGGGTCTATCAGGATCTCACTACTAGATCGGACTCGTAGTGATCCGCCTGTTTATAACCTCCCAAGAGCTGGGATGACAGGCGTGTGCCACCATGCCCAGTCTCAATTGCCATCTCAGCGTGCCCTGGGGGTGGGGATCAAACCCCCGGCCTCTGCACCTGCTTGCAGGCACTTTAATCCACTGCGCTATTTGGCTGCCCCTAAAGTGGGAATTACTCATGCTTATGAATTAATAAGTCTTAGTTCTTTGGTTCTCTTAAAGAAATACTCTTTAAAACCATGGTTTATATTAAGATTAAGGTGAGTACTTCTGTACAGCCTTATGTTTTAGTATTGGTTGGTTTACCCTAAGAAGCCTTTGTCGTTCATCTTGTTCCTTCTGGTTTTCTCAGTCTTATTTGAGGAGTACCCATAAGAAGAGCTCCATCGCCTCAAGGATTAAAGCCCCGCTGTCCTGACATACTGCCAGTCAAAATGTCTACACAACTGAGAGAGACTTCAGCTGGCCCTCCACAAAGTCCAGAGGAGCCCGGCAGGCTTCTGGTAGTGAAGGTGGAGGAGGAAGGTCAGGCCTGTGATCCAGACTCCCGTCTCCACTGGAGCAGCTGCTACAGCCTGGAGACCTGCCGCCAGCGTTTCAGGCAGTTTGGTTACTCAGACTCTGCTGGGCCCCGGGAAGCGCTGAGACAACTCCAGGAGCTTTGCCATCAGTGGCTGAGGCCAGAGGTGCACACCAAGGAGCAGATCCTGGAGCTGCTGGTGTTGGAGCAGTTCCTGGCCATCCTGCCCGAGGAGCTGCAGGCCTGGGTGCAGAGACAGCCGCCAGAAAATGGAGAGCAAGCTGTGACTCTGCTGGAGGAGCTCGAGAGAGGAGTTGACCAGCCAGATGCACAGGTAAGAAGGGGACCCATGGGAAATGACCGCAGCACATCATGGAGAGGGGAGCTATGGAATCCTTCTGCTCAGGACAACCAGAGGTGCATGCTGGTGAATGCACTCTTGGGTGTCCCGGGAAACAGGTCACAGCTCTGCTTTGCTCCTCTTTTTTCCTGAGCCCTGGATATTTTGTTATTTTGATATTTAATATCTCTGTTATTTTAGTCTCAAGTCCCTACCTGATGCCCTTCTCTGGCCAAGGTTATACCTAACTATTCCCAGGTCTTTGTTGGAAGAAGAAAGGATGTGATGGCAGAAAAGCATGCACCGTGGGAAATCACTCAGGAATTACCGAGTAGCCGGCTCAAGCCCTTGAAAAAGCAGCTTCAGTGGGCGCCGTGGGAGCTGCAGTCCATAAGACAACATGGTGAGATGCAGGGCTTAGCTGCTGGTGGCAAGTGAAGAGGCCCCGTATGCCCTGCACATCTTGGCTGCTTTAGGAGGTCTCATGTCTCTCTTCTGTCTCACCCTCATCTGTTTTACTGAGAGGAAAATACAGCTCTTCTGTCTGAAGCAGAGGGCCAGTCCACAAGGTCTCCAGGCAGCCTCATCCCCACATCTTTCCTTTCAGGCAGCCTCTAAGGTCCTTCTGTGGGACTCCAAGGTGCACAGTCAAGAGACTGCTCATCTGCCTGTAATGTATTATTACTATGGGATCCAGGAGCAGAGTTGCCCATGCCACTGCTAAGATGACTTTGCTCCGTCAGTGTGCTTTGAATGTACTTCTTTTCTCCCTCATGTGCTAAGGTGGCTTCTGTTGCTCTGCATCAGATTTTTACAAAAGTGCTCCAAAATGTCTGGCATAGCAATCTGTCCTTATCAAAAAAAATGTGGAAAAAAACCCAAAGCAATTGGATCGAGCAGGGGACATGGTGATACTATGCAATGATGACATCTGGGCAGAGACACTCCTAGATGATCATCCTTGATAAAATGGGAGCCAGAGATCGAGAGGAAAGCCTTATGTGGAAACCACACACACACACACACACACACACACACACACACACAGCTTCTGTATTCCAGGGCTGGCCAATAAGCTAAGCAAAGTCAGAAAACACAGAAATCTAGAGATGTTCAGAAAAGATTCTCTGTCTCACATGGCAAGTGCCTGCGCCCACAGGCTTGTGCTAAGCACTTAACACCTTCAGTCTAGAAATCATCTTGCTTAAGCATTAGAAGTAGGAGGGATGGAAGGGGAAGGGGGAAAAAATTGAGATATATTATGTACATATATCAGTTTCCTGCAGTGAATTTAGTCATTATATACTGCAAACATGTACTAATAAAAACTTAAAAAAAAAAAAAAATTTAAAAAAGTGGGAGGGAAACTGTCTCTGCCTTACCCTTTTAGAGGCCATCAGTGTCCAGGCCAGGGTATAGACTCCTAGTGCTGGCAAAAGCCATGTTCTACCTGTCAAGAGTTCCCCTGCCCCTGAGACATTTCCTACATTTAGAAAATACATGGAAATGTGAAACAGCCAAAGATTCCAGGATTTTTCAATGCAAAGCAGATAGAACCAAAGTCACATGAGAACCGTTTTATAAGACTAAACATGATTTCTGTGGTTCTGTGTCATGTCTTACCAAGGCTTCTACAAACAACATTGGTCTCGGCACTAGGGACTACTACTGTCAGGATTTTGACAGTAGTGACTAAACATTGATGTCACTTTCGACTCTGAGCTATCAAAACCAAAATCTTTATCATTTATAAAATAACTTCTGTTTAAGCCAGTAATAATAAATGAGCATGCTATATTTATGAAGAAATGCAAGAATTTTAATGGATTTTGTGATGATAATTATACTTAGACCCATTTTTAACTATATTGTAAGGATTTTTTTTTAAAAAATAACTCATGGCGCCCTAGTGTCTCACCCAGTCACTGACGTCTCTTCTCCTCCAACCCACTTTTCTCATGTTATCTTTTTTATTGGATCTTAAGAGGACTCAAAATCACTTCCCATCACTCTCATTTCCTCATTCCCACTTAGGAAATACAGATAAAGGAATCACACTTCGCTCTTGGGGTCAGCTCCAGCCATGACATGTCCTCATTGTGTCCAAAATATAGCTTATTGCGGGGTGATCTTAGACCAGTGCCTTGTAGCAGCTTCCATTAAAATACCACCTAAGGGCTGTCAAGATAGCTCAGCGGACTAAGGCACCTGCTTAGGCAAGTTCAGGCACATGCACGCAGGGACTGAGGTTCATTCCATAGCACCACGTGCCTTGCCAGCCCCACCCCCTGGGTCTGGGCATGGTAACTCACGCCTGTAATCCCAGCGCTGGGGAGGCTGAGACAAGAGGATCACTGTGAGTCTGAACTATGTAGCAAGACCCTGTGTCAAAATAAATAAATAAATAAATAAATAATAAAATACCACCTGAGGATCATGGAAGCAGTCCCTTCAGTACATACTCAAAAGTAGTTGACAGTTCTCCTAGAGCTTCAGGTAGCCTGTGTTACAAGCCCTCTACATCAGGTAGATTTAAGTGACCAGGGTCTGTAAGCAGCCATACTCATTTTTTCATAGACTGTAAATACAGTACAAAATAATACAGGAAACTTAGCCATTTAATCAGTGTTATAATTTTCATACAGGAGTAGAGGTTTCTGGTAGAAGGGTACCCTGTACTACTCTTGATCTTTTGAGGTGCCGTTTTTCTAGTTTATAACCCTCCCCTTTTTGGCCTAAATTGTATTTTCTAACTCCATTTTCCATGTTCCTTTTTTGATCTGCAATGTCACCTTATTTATTTGCTTATTATTGATTTATTTATCACTGTTAAGCTCTTTTGCTTATGAGCACTTGTGCTAGATCTTCTTCAGTGCTCATATTTGATTCCTCTCCTTCAGTTTCTATCTGTTCCACTAAATCATTGCTCATCTTTTAGACCTTTTTTTCATCTTCCAGCCTTTCCCTGGTCTCTGATGTATCTTCTTTTTCTGCTTACTCTCCACTCAACTTTTTCAGTAGTGCTTTGCATCTTCAGAGTTGGCTGCCCCCTCAGTATATAAGCGCTTCTCTTTTCCTCATGATGTTATCAACACTTTGTCTTATCTTCACCCTCTGTATTGTGATGTTTTATATATATCTTTAGATAGATAGATAGATAGATAGATAGATAGATAGATAGATAGATAGCTATTTGGGTCATTCTAGTTCACTTTTTTTCTGAACAGAGAACTGGGGACATTGCTTTTCTTTTTCTGTCTTTTATTTCAGATGAAGACACTACAATGATAAATATGAATTCTGCTTCAAGACAAAAAACCTCCTTGGATGCAGAACTGCATCATGATGTTTCTAATCCCTTTCTTATGAAAGCCTCCCAGCATCTCACATCTCAAGGAGCCTGGGAACAACATGGCAGTTTCTCAAGAGGACAGGCAAACCCTTCTCAAAAAAAGCAACATAAGTGTGATCAGTGTGGCAAAATCTTTAGTCAGAGCTCTGCCCTTATTTTACATCTGCGAATTCATAGTGGAGAGAAGCCTTATACCTGTGACGAGTGTGCAAAGGCTTTCAGCCGAAGTGCAATTCTGATTCAGCATCAGAGAACCCACACTGGAGAGAAACCCTTTAAGTGTCATGACTGTGGGAAAGCCTTTAGTCAAAGTTCAAATCTTTTTAGACATAGGAAAAGACACATTAGAGAAAAAGTCTCATCAGTGTCATGAGGGGACCAAAGCACTGACTTTGAGTTTTGCAGAATAAGAGAAGACAGAAGGCACAAACGCTCCTTTAGTATGAGTCAGTGGTTTTAGTGGACACCCGTTTCCTTTCAAGGATCATCAAAGCCACAGGAGAGAAGGAAGGGTATCTCGTGTCAGCAGTATTTGCTTTTCTGCTTATTGTCGATTCCAATGTTCGAGATTCCAAAGTTTAATTCATACTTTCACCCCTGAGCAGCCTTGCAGAAACATTCTCAGTTGTTTCTTCTGTTTCCATTATTAACTAAAATAATGAGCTAGTATACTCATGACTTTTTTTTAAAAGTATGTATTTTCCCAGTTGAGAAGAAATGTGTGTTACTCAGTATAATAGATATTTTTCTCCATTTCATAACTTGAGAACCAGAATTCTAAGGACTAGAGTAAACCACTCTTTAAAAATTTTCCTATTTTGTCTTTGGTTAGCAGATTCACAAAATATTGAGGAGGCCCCCCCCCCAAAAAAAAAATATATATATATGACAAACTAACTTGAAGTTTCTATAGTCATTGTTAGGAAGTAGTTAAAAGAAAATCACTTAATGTCTTATGAGGGCCGGGGGTGTAGTTCAGTGGCACAACACCTGTCTGGCAAGTGCGAGGCTCTTAGTTCAATTCCTGGTAACAAAAAAAGAATCTTATAAAAGCTCTACACACTGTTGATACTAAGTAATTTCCTGTGCTGTAAAAATTAGTCTTGGGGGCTGGTGAGATGGCTCAAGTGGTCTAACGCACCTACTTAGAACAAGCTTAGCAAAGCACAGGGACCACGGTTCAATCCCCTAGCACCACATGCCAGCCAGCCCCGCCCCCTGGTGGGCTGAGCTGGCCACACACACACACAAATAAATAAATAAAATTTTTAAAAAATTAGTCTTGTTTATAATGTAATTAATAGGGCTGGAGAGATGGCTCAGTGGTCTAAAGCACCTACTTAGAACAAGTTTAGCAAAACATCAGGGACCACGGTTCGATCCCCCAGCACCACATGCCAGCCAGCCCCGCCCCCTGGTGGGCTGAGCTGGCCAC